CTGAAACTGACCAGCAGCGGCTGAATCAGGACGCCTGGGGCAGAGCAGCTGAGGTGCTGCTGGGTTGGTCCAGTAGCACCCAGAGCTGTACACGAGGAGTACAGCTAGTTCGGATTAGAAGCCTAATCCGAACTAACTACTCCGTGCCGCATGTAGCCGCGCTGTACGGGGTTCGAACTAGCCGGCATTTAAAAATGGCGCCGTCCGGCTTCATGCAAATGAAGCCCGGGAAATTCAAATCCCGGGCTTCATTTGCAACTGCAGATGACTACATTACCCCCGCTAGTTCGAACTAGCGGGGTAGTGTAGACATACCCTTAGAGAGTACAGCAAGTGGTTCTTTATAGTCTCCAATATCAATGGGCAGATGAAGCAATAAGCAGGTGTAAATTGTTGTCTCTGCATTGCTGATCTCGTGTATGGCCTGTTCTCTGTTTAAAAAAAAAAGTAAACCCCCATTGCTGGTTTTATTTGTTTTATGATATTTTTTACATTAATATTAAAAAATCCATTATCTCTTCCACTTTACTTCTCCTGTGCACCATTTTAGCATCTTCTTTTTTCTGGCCAGAGACTACATCTCTGTTTCTGGTTTGACGGGGGCTGGAGCACAATACACCTCAACTGATCCCTGGCAGGAATATATTCTAACCAGAGCATGTTAGGGCAACCCCGTGGCTGCTGTACCTTGTACCCTACAGTCAGGGAAGGCATACAGATTCTTTTGACTGTTTCAGATACTGAATCTGTGTCCTATGTGTTAGTGCAAGTTGGGGTAAGTACTAGGGGCCTGATTCTCCACTGTCCACGTGAAATGGACAAAGTGTAAGGCAGTGGAGAACCAGAGCTTGTGTGTAATACTCCACAAGGAACAAGATAAAGTATTTATAGTCATGTTTAGCTATTCAGGTGTTCTCAGGAGTGTGGTGTAAAAAGAGGTGAGTTGTCAGATGGCATGGATTTAAATTCTGTTCTGAAATGTGTGTATGTGGAACTTTAGCTACCAACTTCCACTCTGGCCTGAGTCTGACTACTGTTACTAAGCAGAAGTAACTTGGTGGCCCTGTGGAACAGCATTCTTATTAATGCAAGATTGGGTTTCCTGGCTATCCCTCTTCTGCTCTGTCACTTTAATACCTTGCACTGGATTGTTGTAACACTCAGTGTCTGTGCTGTATGGGATTAAGCCCATTAGTGAGAGGGTTGCATTTTAATCAGAAGTCAGAAAAATATAAAAATTTTAACTATTACATAGGCTGTAAGCTCTTTGGTACAGGACTGCCTTGTTTTGCATTTATACCGTGCCTATTGTAATGGGGTCATGGTCCATGAGTAAGGCTGTTAGGTAATGTGGTAATATAAATAATAAATAATAACTGCTTGTTGCAGTCCCTTTAATTATCAGGGGTCAGAGTGGGGAGAGGAGAATGGAGAAAGCTATTTTATTGTTAGTGAAAATTCCTGAGCCCTTCTCTGATTCCTGTCAAGTGGAAATGCATCAGTTGAATTTTTAAAATAATATAAAGACTAAATGAGGCCTTAGAGGGGTCCAATAAGGAAACTTACCATGAAAATATGAATGGCAAAATTTGAAACTGCAATCTTAAATAAATAGCCAATTGTGATTTACAATTTTTCTGCTGCTCTAAGGGGAATGAAAGGTCAGTAGATATGAAATATGCATGTATTATAAGGTAATGTAGTAACTGAATAATAAATACGATCTAGTCAAAACACACTTAATGCCACTCTCATCACACTTGAAGCAGACAGGGCTTTTAGCTGATGCTTGACTGAGGTTTTCTTGTGGTAAAATTAATATACTAGGTAATTGCTTTATAACAACACACTGAATCTAGCTGTCTGTAGCATTTGCAAACATGGACCAACATTTTCAAATTGGGCTTGCCTGGGCCTTGTTGACTTTAATGGGCACTGTAGCTGATTATGGCCTTGGAAAATTAATCCATTTATTTAGGAGCCTAACTTTTGGCAGCTGATTTTTAAAACTGGGAATGTCAGGACAGGTGTCCTGACATGATCCCTATGTGCAGTGACCAGTCTGTAGTGAGTGGATCCAGTTGCTGGGTCCCACATGCTACTGAGCTGTCACCGTTGAGATGGAATCTTGTTTCTAGCTCTGGGACCTTGGGGCATTCTCTCAAACTGAGACCTCTTGTCCTGACACCCTTTCTTCGGACACGGGGCACCTCAGCCCAACTACCCTGGAATCAGTGTCTGAGACCTTTCCATCATCCCTGTCCTCTCACAATCACTTATATTGGCTTGCTCTTGAGTTCCATTTCCACCAGTGGTCCCCAAACAGTAGGCTATGCCCCATGGGGACCAAAGAGGAACACCTGGAGGGGCGTGTGGAGCCTGTGCCAGTCCCCACAGGGGGTGTGGAGGAAGTGCCACCCCCCTCTGCTCTTCTCCTGTCTCCACTCTGGCCTAGCTTCTGACCTCAGTTTGACCCCAGTTTCAGACCCCAATCTCTGCCATGGCTCTTGGTCCCAGGTGCAGCCCTCACTCCTGGCCCAGGGTAGGTGCACACACATTCAGTTATTGGTAGGAGGGAGCAGGAGAGGAATACAGGCTCAACCCAGGTATTTCTTAACCAGTCACTTTACTCCTAACAAATACCCGTATATACTCGAGTATAAGTCGACCCGAATATAAGCCAAGGCACCTAATTTTACCCCAAAAAACTGGGAAAAAGTATTGACTCGAGTATAAGCCTAGGGTAGGAAATGAGGCAGCTACTGGTAAATGTAAAAAATGAAGATAGATACAAATAAAATTACATGAATATTTATTTCAAAGAAAAACAATAACCTAGCTCTGTAAGTGGAAAAGGGGGTCAACAAAAACAATATGGTATCAAAAATACCGTAACTTTAAAAGTACAACAACCTTAGCTCAATCAGCAACCAAGCTAACACACAAGAGCTAAAATCCTTCAAAACTGGAGTTCTCCTCCTCATCATCTGTATGTCCAAACAGAGCTTCAGCTGGTGTGAGGTTATCAGCAGGGGACCGTCCCCAGCAGACCACAGGCTCCCGGACTGAAGCCGCAGCCGCGGGGGGGTCCCGCGCCTCTGAGGCTTTGCCCGCCTCAGTTCTCGAGATGCTGACTCGAGTATAAGCCGAGGGGGGCATTTTTCAGCACAAAAACTGTGCTGAAAAACTCGGCTTATACTCGAGTATATACGGTACTAGCAAGTTACAGAGTTCTACAAAACAGCTGAAGTGCTGAAGCACACCATCTTCTCACCTGCACTGTAGAAGTCCAAGGTTTGTCCACATGTCAGTCCAGAGAGAGTCTCTCCTGTGAGCCCTTTTTGTGCCAGTGACTGGCCCCTGCCATAGAACGGCACCCCACTTCAAGGTGGAGTCTGTCTCTCTCCCATGTGCTCCCCTGAGACACTCCATCCCTCTCCCCCTTTGCTCTGCTTGCCTCAACTACAGGCTCCTCTGTGTGTGTGTTGTGGGGGAACATTGTTACATGTGGGTGGACCAGTGAATGAGTCATTTGTAATTGATAGCTCCACAGGTTGGTGGCTGTCTGTGATATTCCCTGAATGAAGTATCAAGCAATTTTCATGGAGGGAGCACTGCTGACCGCAACACAGTAAATTCTCCTCAAGGCAAGTTTAGATGTGCTCAGTCCATACTACAAAATGGAGTTTGTACAGAGGCTTTCCTTTCTTTCACATCAGATTTTGAGGTATCGGCTTTTCTTTGCCCATTGAACCAACCAAGGATGTACGATAGTCTCAGAAGGGTAGCCATGTTAGTCTGTAACTTAAAAAAAAATCACGAGTAGTCCTATAGTACCTTAGGGTATGTCTAGACTACATGGCTCCATTGACGGAGCCATATAGATGAGTTTACTAGAAACAGGAAAATGAAGCAGCAATTTAAATAATCACTGCTTCATTTACATAAAAATGGCTGCTGCACTGCGCCGATCAGCTGTTTGGTGGCACAGTGCGGTAGATGACGCACCTTTTCTGATTTCACAGTAGCTGCTCAGAAACTTTGTTTCATAGTATTTTTGTGGCTTTGTGTTTTGGCAGCAATTAAAGCAGCTATCCTCATTCAGAGGTGGTATCGGTGTTATATGGCCCGGCTGGAGATGAGGCGACAATACGCTCTTAGCATCTTTCAGTCAATTGAATACGCTGAAGAACAAGCTCAGCTACAGGTCTGTCCTCCTGGGTTTTTGGGCTAACGTGGTAAAACATGAAGGTCACATTTTCCAGAAATGTGCATCTGAGCTGCACAAACAAAATGGATATCTGCACATGTGCTTTGCAACTTCCCACTTGTGTGCCAACAGAATGTTTTGGGCATCCAGTTTCCTGATTTGTTTAAAAATAGGAATGTGGAAATTGAAGTGGCAGGCTATGTCTACACTACAATGATCTATTGGAAAAAGATCCGCAAGTTGCACTTTGCAATTTGCGTACTTTTTTCTGATAATTTTATTCGTCTACACTGGGCCAAATTTTGGAAAAGTCTCCTCTTTTGGAAGAGCCTTTCCTCCTCGTGAGAGGAGGAAGACCGGGCTTCCAAAGGAGTGCATCTGCTGACTAGACTCACCTTTTCTGATTTCACAGTAGCTGCTCAGAAACTTTGTTTCATAGTATTTTTGTGGCTTTGTGTTTTGGCAGCAATTAAAGCAGCTATCCTCATTCAGAGGTGGTATCGGTGTTATATGGCCCGGCTGGAGATGAGGCGACAATACGCTCTTAGCATCTTTCAGTCAATTGAATACGCTGAAGAACAAGCTCAGCTACAGGTCTGTCCTCCTGGGTTTTTGGGCTAACGTGGTAAAACATGAAGGTCACATTTTCCAGAAATGTGCATCTGAGCTGCACAAACAAAATGGATATCTGCACATATGCTTTGCAACTTCCCACTTGTGTGCCAACAGAATGTTTTGGGCATCCAGTTTCCTGATTTGTTTAAAAATAGGAATGTGGAAATTGAAGTGGCAGGCTATGTCTACACTACAATGATCTATTGGAAAAAGATCCGCAAGTTGCACTTTGCAATTTGCGTACTTTTTTCTGATAATTTTATTCGTCTACACTGGGCCAAATTTTGGAAAAGTCTCCTCTTTTGGAAGGGCCCTTCTTCCTCATGAGAGGAGGAAGACAAGGCTTCCAAAAGAGCACATCTGCTCTTCTGCAAAAAAAAGCGGAAGAGCAGACATGTTCCCTGGACACGGCAGAGTATTTCCGGGATACCAGAGGTATCCCGGAAAAACCCCATAGTGTAGACATAGCCCCAGACTGGATCACTGTTCCATCCAGTGCAGTAACCTATCTCTGACAATGAGCAGTATCAGAAACTTCAAAAGAAGGTGTACAAACTCTGTAGTTAAAATTATGGAATAGCATGCTTATAGAGGAAGTTTTCTACTAGCCCCCACCAGTTAGAGGTTACTTTATTCTCTGAAACAGGAGGGATTATATTACTTGTATTATGTTTATAACTAATCCTATATAATCCCAGTTATTGTGGATGTTTTGGATGCTAACAAAAAGTTCAGTTGGTATTGGTCCTGCCTAGAGCAGGGGGCTGGACTTGATGACCTTCTGAGGTCTTTTCCAGCTCTATGGTTCTATGTAGTCCATTTGTTTATTAATTGAGGAAGGAAGATGGTTTTGTAATTAAGGCTCTGGACCAAGACTAAGGAGATCTGGATTTAGTTTCTGGCTCTACCACAGATTTCTGGTGTGACATTGAGCAAGTCAGTTAACCTCTCTGTGCCTGAGTTCAGTAAAATAGCGTTAAAAACTTCCTCTCTCACATTCTGTTTAGTTTGTCGATGCTTTAGGCTGGATATTTCCTCTTACTGTTTTACACCTTCTAGCCTGCTAGGGCTACTGTAATACAATCAATCATCCTCATCAACATTTTAAAGAGTGGAGCAGGTTCACTGACCTAAAGGCAAAAACAAAAACAAAATTATTTCCCTCACATTTTTCTACATTTCTCACACTTTTCTTTCAAATACAGTTTAATTTTTGGTAAGCGTTTTACTTTTTTATTAGTGCTTTTTTAATAAATTTTTACAAAACAGAAGAATGACTATAGTCAATAATCTATTTCAGCAGGCAGTGCTTGATTTCAATATTTGGTCCCTTTTTGTTTACTCGTATTTGTTTTATGTGGTTTAATGTCTCAGTTAATGTTCATTCTGTTCTGAAAATGAACAGTTTCAACTAGCTTTGAAGGAGTTTGTTGGATTTGAGTTTGTTTGATTTAATTAGTGTATGTTTATGAATCAGCATCAGTCCACTAGCCTGCAGTAAGGAAGAAGGGGGAATGCTGCAACATCTAAGGGAGGACAAGGTTGCATTGTTATTATAAACTAGTGACACAGATCCAACGTGCCTCTGTATCTTTTTATCTCAGTGTCCCAATTAGTGGGAAAAGAATAAAGAGAAATAAGAAAAATAATCATCCGTGTTTGTTTCATCTGAAATGATCAGTGTTTTTCTTTTCTTCTTCAGCTGTCCAGTTTTTTTACATTCATGCTGGATCACTTCATTCATCTCAATGAGACTGATAAAGGTAAGGATAAAAAAACAGGTTAATATGAAAACTCCAGTTTAAAAACAGACATTGGAAGATGAGTTGTCTTTGTGGTGCCTACGTACATGAAAACATCCTGCTACCACACCTGATTGAAACTTAACTTGGAGCTTGTCATACAATGTAGTGAAAACTTGGTCCTGCAAATGCTGATTCTGATACTTGGTGCTGTAAATGATGATTTTCTTCCGTTCTCTCTCTCTGGAATGTTTTATTATATGTTTTCTCCTTGAAGAGCTTGTAAACTGTTCTTGTGTTCTTCCTGCTTCCAAAAAACTCCCAATTTCTAGAACCATGTTTTTTTCTAATTTGTAATGGACATTTATCAAAAAGGAGTATGCATTGGCAAATACTTAGCAGATGTAACAAACAATCTGATATAGGCAAATGTGGAGCATATTTTAGTTTAATTTATTCTTAACCTTTGCTGCAGAGTATTTTATGTGAGGCCAGTAGGAAGCTGTCTGACTATATGAGTTTTTACATATATTTTAGCTAATCATTACTTTGTCCTATGTTAAAGAACAATTTTTCACCCTTCTCCTTACAACAACTTTTTATGTACTTGAACATGGTTAGCAGTGTTCTCTTTGGTTAAACAAACCCATGTTTTTCAGTCTTCCTCTAATGGGGTCATGTTTCTAGATCTTTAATAATTTTCGTTACTTTTCTGTGTTGTTGTTGATATCTTCCTGAAATGTGGCACCCAGAATTGGACACAATACTCTAATTGAGGCATTATCAGCACAGATTAGAGCAGAAGAATTACTTCGCTTGTCAAACTTCCAGCACTACTGCTGGTACATCCGAGAGTCACCTTTTCTTTTTTTGCAGCAGTGTTACACAGTTGACTCATATTTAGCTTGTGATCCACTATGACCCCAGATCCATTTCGGCAGTACTCCTTCCTAGACAGTCACTTCCTGTTTTGTATGTGTGCGCAATTGTTCCTTCCTAAGTGGCATACTTTTGTATTTGTCCATAATTTCATCTTACACAACTCGTGTGAATAGTGCATGGACTTCAAGGAATATGAAAGCCATTCAGAATATGAACAATTAAAAATGATCAAATTAAAATTAATATTAGGCTACATTACAACACTTTGCAACCAGCTCTAATCCAGCAGTGAAAAACTAGCCTTTGATCTTTAAAGTGTTTTGAGATCTTTGGATAAAAGCAGTCTTTGAAGTGTAAGTTCCACACAGAGCTACAGCTTGAAAATGACTTCTGCTTAAATGAACATCCACTTGTTTAGAAGGTCTGTTGTAGAGACATAAGCAAATCTGAACCTCAGTTGTGTTAAGGACAAGGCAGTCCTCACCTTACTGAGTCATAAAAGAATATGAAATCTCACTTTTCTTTCATCTGGGCCAGCCATTGATTACGCCAATTAAAATGCACTGTTTGATAGCAGAATAAATCCATCAAAAGCCATAAGTGGTTCAGTGTTCTAATGGCAACAATTAGAAATTGCAGTTTGTTTGGAAATGATTAGAAATTGCAGCTTTTAAACAGCCAAGAGTGCCTAATGAACAGTGCACTCTTCTTGAAAGAGAAAGTACATCTGAGCAGTGCCCCTGGGTCAAAGCGGAGAATAAGGTAGTCCTACAATTAATGTACTATACTGTGCATTAGGACAGATAACTGCAGTCTGTGACTGATCTGCTATTCTTGTGGGATTTAAGGGAATAACGTGGCTAACTTGAAGACAATCTAATGATGCTGTTCATTCTAGATCTGTGCTAATAGTATACTTCACCTCATCTTCTGAACCCAACTGAATCCAAAGTTTTTAAGATGATGGATTAGTTTGGCTATTCAGTTGCTTGTAAATTAGATTGAACTAAGTCTGAGATGTCTCCCCTAACCAGACTAGATAAATGTATGTATATTGATTCTCTCAGTAAAGGTCTGATAAACATTTTAACTACTTAGGGTGAAAGTTTTGGCTCACCTCTTTTGCCCATGCATAGGAGTACGGGATGTAAATTGACCCTTATTTTCCCTTTGTAGTCTACTTGCATGAAGAGCAAATGTTAGTTATAGTTAAAGACTGCTTGGCGAGGTTGTAGAAGCTTTTTTGTGTGGAGAGGATTTCAAAATGAGGCTGGATGGGTTAGACCAGTCACCAACCCATCAGTCGTGATTGGTAGATCCTATAACTGGCATCCAACCAGTTCTGAAGCCACTGTAGTGGCTACTGCTATAGTGAACTAGCCACACTCACCCAGCCAAAGAGCCACACGAGGACAGTGGCTGGCATGTTGGACACTATGGTCCTAGAGCCTCTGCCAGTCGATCCCAATCTCAGGTAGGCTGCCTATGCCTTGTCTGATGCTCCTAAAAGCCACTGTCTGACTGAGTGCAGGCAGTCTCTGCAGCCCTGGGGGTGGAGGGGCAGGAGGAGGGAAAATGAGGCAACTCCAGGCTGCCCCCAGCACTGTCCAGGCAGCTTCCATTGGTCAGGCACTTATAGGCAGCAGTGCAGCACATGGAGACCCCTTTTCCCCTATCCTCCTGCAGGGACCACACACGCAGCCAGCCAGTGTTTCCAGGAGCGGTCGGTCTGGGGTCAGGCAGAAGCAGTTTGCCTGAGCCCCGCTGCACTGCCAACTGGGAGCTGCCTGTGGTAAGCACCTCTTGGTTGCATCCTGCACCTCTGCTCGCTATGCCACCACCCAAATTCCCTCCCAGAAGCCACGCTCCTCACCCTGCCCCACATGCCACACTCTGCTGCAGCATGAAGCCCCCTCCTGCACCCAGGCTATGTCTACACTGCAAGGTTTTTATGCAAAAACCTGCGGAGCGTCCACACTTCAAATTCGCTTTTGCACAAGTAAATCAGCAGTAAAACGGCAGAACAGAGGGCTTTTCCCAATGTAGGTAAACCTCCTTCTATGAGGAATAGCTCCTTTTTGCGCTACAGCTATTGCGCAAAAAGGCAAGTGTGGACGCTCCAGAGGAGCAAGAAGCCCTTATGGGAAAAAGCACAGGATCTCTGATGGCCATTCTGTGAATGGCCATCAGAGCTTTCATGCGCAAGAGCATGCATACAGTGTGGATGCTCTCTTGCACAAAAGCACATCCCTTTTGCAATGTGCTTTGAGGTGTGGACGTGCTCTTGCGGAAGACGTTTTTTGCAAAAACTCTTGCGCAAAAGGCTTCTTGCGCAAAAGGCTTCTTACGCAAGAAGCCTGCAGTGTAGATGTAGCCCCAGAGTGTTGGGGTGCAGGAAGGAATGGGGGATACAAGCTCTGGGAACTCCAGGGTAGATCCTGGGTTACCCTTCAATTTAAAAAGTGATGTTGGGGATAAAAAGGTTGGAGACCACTGGTTCAGACACAACAAATCCTGAATCTTGGCTGGAGGTTAGACTTAAATGACCCTTGCATTTTTTCCTAACCTTAGGATTATTGGTCCAAAAAAAAGAAAAAGCTTTCATATTACAATTCAAATTTTCATATAGTTTTGAGAAAGTTGTACCTTTTGAGCAAAAACTTGAGACTTGGTGTCTGTGCAAAGGTAATTCTATTCTAATGGAATGAGGTTTAACTGTTAATTTGAATTTGAACTAAGGGGTTTATCTCGGAATCGTGCTTCTCTGCCGCGTGTAGACGTGGGCAGTTACTTCAGGCTAGTCAATTTCCAAAATGGCAACCGGCCGGGAACATGCTAATCAAGCACGGGATATGTAAATACCGTGCTTCATTAGCAATTTCGGTCGCCCTCATTAGCCTCCCTAGTTCGAACTAGTGGGCTAGTGTAGACGTATCCTTTGAGAGACTGACAAATAATGCTTCCCATTAAAAGAAAAATTTTTTTATCGGGCCTTCATCTGAAATAAATGAGGATTGAGAGTTGTAGATTACGTATAAGTGTTTGCATACTGAAAAGGTGCAGTTGAGGTTTGCTTTTGTTTAGAGTAGCAAACTTGTCATGTCAACATTTAGGCCTAACCGCTATTAAAAAGAAAGGTCAATCCAGCTATGTTCTTCAAGGGGTGTGAAAAAGCCATACTTTAAGCAGTATAGTAATGACAACCTAGCCTGCCTTCTATCAATGCTAAGTTGATAGAAGAATTTTTCCATCAACTAAGATACCACCTCTCTTGGAAGGTGAGTTTCCAAGGTAGATGGGAGGTATTCTCCCATCAGTGCAGGTGGTGTTTACACTGAAGTGCTACAGCAGTGCAGACACAGTAACATTGAAAATGTAGACAAGTCTTTAGGTCCTGTTTCAGCAAAGCACTTACGCATGTGTTTAATTTAAAGCACATACTTAAGCCCATCCTTATTTAGTAAAGCATTTAAGAACCTGGCTTTAGTGGGACTTGGGCACATTTTTAAACGCTTTTCTGATTAGGGGCATTCTTAAGCAAATGCTTAATTTCTTGCTAACTTATGGAACTGACCTATGTCTGTGAATGTGGACAGAGATACTGCAAATAAGTCTGGACAATTGTCCAAATATTTTAGGAAGCCCAGAATCTCAGAAAAATAATTCTGCTGCTGGTTTCTTCAAACCATGCTCATTTTAACTTAAGACAATAAAAAACAGGGGTAAAAAGTCCTGCATAGAACTAGGCAAAATGTTTTCAATCAACAGTAATTTTGCTGATAAATGCATTTTTCAGGATGTCAAAACTATTTGCAATTTGAGTTACTTTGACAAATAATTTCATTAAATTTTTAAGTAAAAATATTTTGTTTCAGCCACTTTGAAACACTTGTTTCAACTTTTTGTGGCAAAACAGCGCTCTGTTCTGAACTGTATCCAGGAAAAAGAAAACAGTGTGAAAAACACTTGAAAAAGACTGAATCAAAATAATAATACAAAATCTATTCAAGTTGACAAGTAATTTCAGTTGAACCAAAAAGATGGAAAAAATTAGTTTTGGGCCAATCCAAAACATTTCTGTCAAGTTGCAACTGTTTTTTTCAAGTTTTTCAATTTGTCAGTTTTTGTTTAAATCTATTTTATTCACATCTGACTTTTTTCTGTAATTTTCTATTTGAACTTGTATTGGACTCTTATGGGATTCACATTAAAAGCAGAGATTGCCTGTCCTGTTCAAAAGGTATGTTTGCGAGAAAGAAGAGAGGAGTGAAGATCTTTGTAGGTGTTACAGACCTTGGTCTTTCTTACATTTTAATTAATCTCTTAAGAAATCTTCCTGGCTTATCACTGTGTAAGTTTATATTTTTGGATTTTTTTAATACTTAAAATGAATTGTGATCACTTTCCTCTTAATGCCATGGTCCTTTTGTTATGTTTTACCCTCCTCTATTTCTCATTTCCTCCTCCTCTTCCTGATGTCAGTGTAGTTTCAGCGTCATGAGCAAGATGCTGTGTAAATAGTTCACTTAGCAGTTTTGTAATTCTGGTGGTGTTTGAGTTGATTTCAAAGAGATCCGTGGGAGGGAGATGCAAAAGCTCTTTCAGCAGTATTTTTTTTTAAAAGAGGCGGTGGGGGAGCTTTTGAATGTACCTTTCAATCCACCCCCAGGATCTCTATCAGGAGAAAAGCAAATTAATTTAAACAATTGGCATAGCACATATTCTTGGTAATTTCCATCCTTTAAATAAAAAAAGTAACAGACTGTACTGTATGAGAACAGATTTTTTAAAAACCATACATAGCTTTTGTGTTTTGCCTTGATTTTTTGGTCACATGTAGTGAGGAATTGGTTTATATGGTATATGAAGATCTATTCTGTATTGCATGCCACCCTGAAAGACAGTCCTTCCCACTAGTCAAGAACACAGGATTCTGTACAGCTCTTAATCCACGGCTATATGTTTGTTTTTCAGTCATGCAAATCCCTGCATGCTCTTTCAGCGTAGGGGTCTGATTTGCATAATTATTCTATGTTTGTTTCTTAGTATCAACTCCTCAGTTATGCAAATCTCTCTACTCTAGCCACTATAAAACCCTGCTCTGATGGATTACTTTCCTTAGAATTCCTCATCCACATGGCCTACAAGAAACATGGCTATCTCAATTTCTGAACTGATTGCCTGCCAGTCATCCCATGCAGCCCCCAGCTAATACATAAAATTTGATTTTAAAATGGAATTGCTCTATTGTGGGGGTAGGCGCTGGGGTAAGGCAGCCCTCTTGAAGCAGAAAGAGACATTGCAAAGCCTGAGATTAGGCATGGAGACAGGGTGGGCATAGTGATAAGAAGACAAAGGGGCTGGGGCTATGTTTGTCAGAGCCCTTGATGGAGAGCTTTGAGGACAAGCAGAGCATAGAGGTGAGAGAATCCATTTCAATGTCATCTTCAAGAGACTCTCTACTAACTTGATAGTAACTATATCCTGAGCAATTTTCCACGGGCTTGTCAGTGAGAGCGGGTGTACGCAGTGGTTGGGATGATCAGGCCACTATGGCAAATTGGATTCCATGTAGATGCTTGGGATATTGGCTATTGTAGTCTGGTTAACCTGGATTTGGTTATTACCCTGTAAGAGAGGAAGGCACTCTTGTGTTATTGACTAGTCAGTTATGGATTATTCTGCAAGATGGCAACATGCACTCAGTGCTCAGCTGCTTGTAGGCTCAAGCCCTTAATGTTGCTGCTTGATGCTTTGCTGTAGTGGGAGTGACATAGACCCAGGTTTGAATGGGGGTAAATATTTAAGAAGGAAACTGCTCCTTTTGCTTAGAAAACACTTATTAGGAAAACTTCAAAAAAAAATGGTCCTAGAGACTAACCAAAAATATATATCTCTATTTCATGAGCTTTCGTAGGCACAGTTCACTTCTTCAGATGACTTCTTATTAGGAACTTTCTTCAGCTGCGGATCAAGTTGAACTTTGCCTATATGATGGCGTTGAATGCTACTTAAAAATGTGGTAACAATTATGAATATTATAAAACGTGTATGTGAATGCAGTGAAGGATTCAGCTACTGTGAGTTTTATGTTTAACACAAGAACTAGGGGACACCACATGAAATTAATAGGTAGTAGGGATCAGTGTTCCCTCTAAGATTTCCCAGCTCCGAGTGGAATGAGTTTTATCTCAAGGACCAACATTGACATCATGTGCACTTGTTCGGATCTCTCGCTCTCTCTCTCCCAAACCAAGGGATAATTAACAAGGTGCATGACCCTGTGATACAGGAATCAGGAGTGCAGGGGATGGGAGATTTGGGGGTGCAGGATTCAGGGCAGGGGGAACTCAGGATGGGGCACTGAGAGGTCAGGGAAGTGGCAGCTCCCTGCTGTTGGGAGGCTGTAGCTGGGCTGCCCATTCTTTCAGGGGGTGGACCCAGGCCTGCGCTTCCCAGCCCCCCAGGAAACTGCTCACTGCGGGGAAGTGGGGCTGGGCTGCCTGGCTCCCTCAACTGGCCAATTGGCTGGCAGCTCCTGGATATCCCTAATAGGCAGCAGGTTTAAAACAAACAAAAGACTGCAAGAGGGTTAAAAAGAACTAGGTTAATTCATGGAGGACAGGTCGGTCCATCAGTGGCTATTAGCTAGGGTGGGCAGGGATGGTTTGTCAGCTTTGTCAGAGGCTTGAAATGGGTGACGGAAGGAATCACATGAGGATTACCTGTTGTGTCCACTCTCTCTAGGGCATCTGGCATTGGCCACTGTCAGCAGACAGGATACTGGGCTAGATGGACCTTTGGTCTGACCCAGTATGGCCGTTCTTATGTTCTTATGTTGCATCCAGTTTTTTGACAGTGATGGTAAATAATAAATCAAACCTTTTTTATGAATTTCAGATCATGTCTAATCAAGGTTATAAGGAAAAAAAAATAAGTTCAACTACAAGCAAACAAAAGTTGTTAAAAACTGAAACCCCTCACAAAGGCAACACTGTAGTTCTATCATAACAACCTCTAGAATGTTTTTTATTAGGATGCTGCTGCTAGCTGGTTGTCTGTTCAAGGAATGCTGTAGACCAGTGACGTGCAAAAGCAACCACTTCAATGTCCTGTCCACTCATGTATAGACTAGTGGGTATAAAAACAACCCTGAACTCAAGCAACTAGAAATGTTTCCACCTCCACACTCTAGGAGGAATAGGCAAGCAAATTGTGTTTCTTCCTCAGCTACACTTCTACTTTTGTTGCAGTTCAGACAATAGTTTTATGACAGCTGGGCATTCTGTCTCAGCTCTAGTGTAAACTGGGATATCAAAACACTATTGTTGGCACACAATTGTAAGAGAATAGGGTTTGTTTGGTTAAGGCCTATGTTATACTAGAGAATTAGATGTGTTTCACTACATTGGTCTTGAAATATTCATACCTCTGAGCTATCCCTTAGCCGCATAGTTAAACCAACCTAAATCTTAATGTAGACTACACTAGGTAATGTAGAATTCTTCCATCGACTTAACTATCACCTTTTAGGGAGGTGGATTACCTGCATCAACAGGAGAACCCCTCTCATCTGTGTCCGTCCGGTCAGTGCTGAAGTGCCACAGTGATTCTACTGTGCTCCTGTAGCTTTCTGAGTGTAGACAAGCCCTAAATCTTCAGTGAATACTTTTCATTGTTGTAAACAGGTGAAGGAGCTGTTGATGATCAACAATAAAGCGAGAACTATGGATCATCCACAATATACTTCATATCTATGTTGGGGGAGGGCAGATTGGATAGCTAAATTTCTCCTAAGTAGAATTACAGATGGTGGCTGAAAAATATTTTGCAGCAGTTTTCAATCTGACTTTAGACACTGTATTTTTTTAATTAATCAGAAATAATTGTTGCAGTTGATCCACAAACTAATTAAATCACTTTATTATAGCAGCAGTGCAGGTACCGGTGATTATTGTGTATTGAGTAGTAGAAGAGAACTTGTGTTGTCTTCCAAGATAACAGACTTTCTACATTATCTCTCCCCTCCCTTTCTAGATTTGTTTTCTCATTTTTTCAGTAGCCCTAGTGGTTCAGATATACAGTTACTGGAATATGAGCAGATGATTGAGGTCCCAGACTCCTACCATGGACCTCGGCTGTCGTTTCCTCTGACTGTTGCTGACACTAATTCACTTCTTCGTGCTTTCAAGGATCAACAGGCAAGTTAGGAGTCGGGACTGGTATTTATTTTAAAGTACGGTTATCATGACAAAACTTACGTAACCTCAAAAGTTGTTTTGAGGAATAAATTATAGAGTTAAAGAAATTAGGTGAACTAGGTGACCTAATATTCTCTGCTGTTTATTTACTGAATATTCATTTTATGCAGGTTGAACCTCCTAAATCCGGGACTCTCTGGTCTGGCAACATCCATGTTCCAGCAGCATCATGGATGTTGCTGGACCGTAGAGCCCTGACGCCTGGGAGTGAAAGCCAGTTCGGAGTCCTGTGTGGGGGAGGGGAAGTCTTGTCCTGGGGAGCCCCAACTGGGCATGGCACAGCAGGGCAGCCAAGGAGCCCCATCCCGGTGCAGCAGAGGGGGGCAGCCGGGGAGCCCCAACCCGGTGCAGCATAGCAGGACAGCCGCAGATCACTGACCCAAAGTGATACAGTGGGGCAGCCATGGAGCCGCATCTGTGGGATGCCCTGGTTGGGCATGACAGCAGCAAGGCAGCCACGGAGCCCTGACCCAGGAGGGCAGCTGCAAAGCCCCGTCCCAGGAAGCCACAGCCAGGTGAGACAGAAGCAGGGCCACAGTGGCTGGAGAGCTCCACCCCCAGAGAGCCCCAGATGGCTGGCAGCAGTGGGCCAGAGCCGAGCCCAAGTCGTTTAGCAACAGGGCTGGAGTGGAGCCATCTGGAGGGAGGAGCAGTTCACTTAGCAACAGGGCTGGAGTGGAGCCATCTGGAGGGAGGAGCAGTGTCCGGGGAGGCCAGTGGCATGGGACCTGTCCTGATCCAGTAAATTCCCTCATTCGGATAGGTCAAGTGCCAAGGGTGCCAGGCTAGGTAGGTCCAACCTGTACTGTAAAGGACTGAGCATTGAAAGCTGAAGTTGGCTTTGTTACTGACTCCCTTGTATTTGCTTTTTGTCAAATTCCTTTGCCTGCTTGCCCATCCATAAAATGGTGCTAATATTTACACTGTAGGGTGTTATGGGGAGTGATTAATCTGCAGCTTTAAACTATAGTTTTGGTGCAAATTATTACTAGTCCAGCCCAGTTTTAAATTTAATGAGCAAATGGGGCTTCCAATATTTATCTGGTATGATGGCTCTAGAAAAAAAGAAGCTGTGGTAAACAAGAAGGGGAAATGAGCAAACAAGGCTTCATCCTTGAGTGCAGGACTTCTTTGTCTCAAGTGGAAGCTAAGGCTCATTTTTTAATCCAAAGCTTTTTATAGATGGGGTAAGCAGCATTTGTGACTTTGCCTCTTCCCACAACAACTTGCATAGCCGAAAGTCTGAGTAGAATTTCAGCTGGACGGTGCACTGATAAGATTATTTTTAAATTAAAAGGCCTGCAATAATTGGATGATGGGATCATCCTAGACATTATTAACAGTGTATAATAGGTTCAGTCCTGTCTGTGATCGCCCCTTAGTGGCTGAAAGGGGTCTCAATAATTACCTCACCTGTTTGCGGGCAAGGAACAGTCTAATCTGTGGCAAGATTCAGGCCTCCTCTTTACCGCCTTGCTTGAGTGTAGTTTACAGAGGGTTGGGGGGGACCCAGGCCCACCCACTTCTCTGGGTTCTGGCCCAGGGACCCTATATGTAGCAGTTACCTGCCAGGTTTCAAAGTCCATACTTCTGGTCATGTCCCTGGGCCACTTCCCCAGGATGCTGTTTCTTCCAGCCCTTCTCTAGGACCTAGGTGCAGAGTTCCCCCTTGCCCAGGATTCCTCAAAGTCATCGCCACCAGCTAGCCTTTCACCAAAGGATCTAGCTCCACTTAGTTACAAGGTTCCCAGCTCCCACTCGGAGCTGTCCCAGGTGCTGGTGTTCCCAGTCAGCCCAGAGGGCTACCTGAGTTGAGCTCCAGGACAGAACTGCCTGGCCTTTTTTGCTTTGGCCTTCACTAGCAGATCCTTATATAGCAGCCTGCTGTACCCTGATTGGCTGCAGTGCATGCTGCCCCTCTCCCTGCTCGGAGGACTTCTCCACTGCTCCGCCCCTCTACCCTGCTTGGAAGACCTCTCCACTGCTTCTGCTGCTGGCCCGGGTGCTGAAAGGCCTCCAGCGGGGAGGTCGGGCTCTGTCTGCCACATCAACAGTGCAACAAGAATAAGATAGAAGAAATTGCAGTGGGAAAATATATTTGCAGCTGAGAAGAACAAAGAGATTGAATGAATGAATTTTAAAGATTGAGAGTGTCATTCTAATCCTAGGGAAATCTGTGCCAAAATTTTAAAAATTCTGCAGCAACAAATTTTAAACATTGTGCACAATATTTTAAAATTTTGCATATTTAATTTGTCAAAACAATGTTTCTTATGCGAAATGATTCAAAATTGCAAAACATCTGTCATGACTGAGAACAACATTGTGCAAAATTATTTGTGCCTGTCTACATCCAGTTTAGTAGGGAATTCTTGAGCACAAGAAGCTGGTGTATCCATTTTTTACTCATGATGTGAAAGCCATTCACATTGTGAAAAAGGACAAATATCCTTTTGCCCTTTGGTAGCTTCATCTGGACTTGTCTGGGTTCTTTGGGAAGTGCTTTGTTCTAATTGCCCTGACATTTTATCCGCTGCTCAGTAGATGTTTTATTTGCCCTTATCATTTTTTGTTTTTGTTTTGTTGTTTTTAAATGTGTAAGTAAAATAAAACCTGATCTGTAATCTAACCTCATTGTGCCACATTAGCACAGGAAAAGAGTGAGAAAGCACATAGATCTTCCTAGCTGAGGAGTCTCTTACTGTCATTTATAATGTATTAAAAGGCTCCTTTACATCACCAATGTAAAACTTTTGAACTTAAAACTTTTACAGGTTTTATGCTCCTGGGGGAATTCACTAAGAATGGAAACAGTTAACTAACAATAGGAACATTAACAATGTTACTAGCAAGCAGGTGGCTACATTTGTCACAGCAAATGAGATCAATTAACTATCAATAGTGAATGAACAGTGTTTTTTCCCCACATCAGAACCATGTTTCATTTCACACATTGAAACAGTTTTGTAGGCATGCATAGAGCACACTCTTATTCTATCCCTGCCCTCCAACATATCTACCTCTTCCCCTAGTTTAGTGTCATCTGCAGACTTGCTGAGGGTGCAATCCAGCCCCTCATCCAGGTCATTAATAAAGATTTTAAACAAAACCAGACCCAGAACTGACCCTGGAGGCACTCTGCTTGATACCGACTGCCAACGAAACATCCAGCTGTTGATCACAACCCATTGAGCTTGGCAATCTATCCAGCTTTCTATCCACCTTACAGTCCATTTATCCAATCCATACTTCCTTAACTTGCTGGCAAGAATTATGTGGAAGAAGGTATCAAAAGCTTTGCTAAAGTCAAGATATATCACGTCCACCAACTTCCCCATGTCCACAGAGCCAGTTACCTTGACATCAAAGGCAATCAGGTTGGTCAGGCGTAACTTGCCCTTGGTGAATCCATGTTGACTATTCCTGATCACTTTCCTCTCTTCCAAGTGCTTCAAAATGGATTCCTTGAGGATCCTCCCCATGATATTTCCAGGGACTGAGGTGAGGCTAACTGGCCTGTAGTTACATGGATTGGATATGTTCAAACTGATATTCAGTATCTGTTAATCCCATTGTATAGGCATGAAACAGAAGCACATAAGTGAAGTGACTTCCCTGAAAGCAATTTACTGGAAAATATAGACTTAGAATTTGGGAGTTCTAAAACCCTTAAATCAGGGATGGAAAACCGTTTAGCAAAAACAACCCCTCCCCCCCATGGATATGGTCCCTCAACTGATGAGCAAAAAAAAGAGAGAGCGAGAACTCGGGGCATCAGGTTTCTCCTTACACTCCAGCCCCATGGGGGAGGGAGGTGTTAAGGTTCAGGGCTTCCCCCAGGGCAAGATTAACTCTTCTGGAGGCTCAGGGTTAGTCAATTTTTTTTGTGCTCATCCTAGATTCTGGGGGTGGATTCAAAAATTAGGGGTTCAGTGTGTGGGAGGGGGCAGCTGGGAAGTGGGGTCTGGGCAGGAGCGGGAGTGGAGAAACAGGATGGCGGTGAGGTGCAGGGTATGGACAGGAGCGGGGGTTTGAGAAAGGGCAGGAGATTGGGGTGCAGGTGGCTGCCCCCCTGCTGGGATTCCTAGCCAATGGGAGCCACAACATGGAGCCTGCTTGTGTCATTGTGGGGTGTGAGCCATATCAAGGGAAGCTGTTAGCCAGATACAGCCTGTGGGACATAGGTTTCCCATCCCTGCCTTAAATCTTAGTCTTCCAAAAACTGGGACTAGACAGCAGGGAATGGAGCACTTAGTAAATTGCCCTGTTCTGTCTGTTCTCTCTGAAGCACCTGGCACCAGCCACTGTCAGAATACAGGACACTGGGCTATATTAACCAGTTTGGCCATTCTGATAGTCTTATGAGTTCCTGAGTCTTCATCCTTGACCATGCTATCTGTGATTGTATTTAGAAAATATGTGTGTACTCTATAACCAATGTTTAAATGGCAAGTACCTATGGCAAAATTGTTGGTAGTGGGTGGGTCTCTATGTTGACTGACCTTCTATGAAGTAGCATGACTTGTGTATATTTCTAATATGCCTCCTATGTTTCATCCCATTCCTTTCACAGCAGCTTCATGCCCGCTATGTACTACAGCTGCTACATGAAACCAAGAAAGTACTTAAACAGTTGCCTAACATCATTCACCTGTCGACCTCCTATTCCAAGGAGATAACAATCTGTGGTAAGATGAAGGTGCATCTAGCTGGTTTTGGTCACAGGATGAGATAGATACAGTACCTGCTCACTTAAAGTTGTCCCAGTTAACATTGCTTCATTGTTACGTTGCTTATCTGTTAGAGCGTATGCTCATTTCAAGTTGTGCAGTGCTCCTTTATAACGTCGTTTGGCTACCTGCTTTGTTTACTACTTGCATGATTTTCTGGAAAAGCAGCCTTTCCTTGTGGGGGTTTGGAAACAGGGTGGGATGGCAGCTGCCCATCAGCTCCCCTAAATCGCTATAAGGACAGATGCAGTTCAGCTGTCCCTCCCCCCACTACCTTGCTGCTTCTGCCCATCTGACTTAGAGCTGCTCCTGGGAGCCTCCTGATTGCTGTACAGGGAGAAGGGAGGCAGGAGGGAGAAAGGGGTGCTTATGTCAAGATGTCTCCCCTTTCCCTCATCAGGTCCCTCATTCTGCACCCCAGCTTCACAAAGCAGGACATCACAGCTACAGAGTCCTGTGTCTAGACTTCCTGGTCTTCTTACAAGGGCAGTGTACTTGAAGTCAGAAGTGCTGGAGCAAGTTTGAAAAATGAGTTTCATTGAACCATACTGTAAACCCTGTATATAAGGGAAACCACTTCAAACCTGGGGGTGCTGTGGGAACCCTTAGCACCTCTACTTCTAGCACCTCTGGTTGAAGTGGGGCCAGTGTACGTAAATGGGCAGTATGTGTCTTAGTCTGCCTCTCTCTCAAACATATGTGCATTTCTGTCTGTCTCTTTCATAAGCCAGTGTACGTAAATGGGCAGTTTGTGTCTTAGTCTGCCTCTCTCTCTCAAACATGTGCATTTCTGTCTGTCTCTTTCATACCGTGTGTGTATGTCTCTCTCTCTCTCTCTCTCTCTCTCTCTCTCACACACACACACACACACACACACACACACACACACTCTTTGGCACTGTGCAGCCATGTGTGCACTGTCCAAAGGAGAGAATGGTACACTCCAATGGAATAGTATGGATTCATCATCATGTTCAGGGAAGTATTTGCAGCCATTGCCATGTGTCTATTGAGTTTTCTCCATGCTGCCTCTAGAGTTTGAGGTCACATTAACATGTTAACCCTTCAGGGCCCAACCAACTGTTAGTTCATCATTTAGTAGCAAGACATTTCCTGGAAAATATTTCACCCTCTGACTCCACCACTTCAACCAAGTTTCACAATCATCAATGCTGTGAGCAGTATTTAATTGTTTAAAATTGTTTGAAACTTATGCTGTCTATGTATAAACTGTCTTTTGTCTGCCCAAAAAAATTTCCATTAAACCTAACTCCCCCAGTTTATATAATAGTAATAGAAATGTAGCCGTGTTAGTCTGGTGTAGCTGAAGTAAAATGCAGGACTATGTAGCACTTTAAAGATTAACAAGATGGTTTATTAGTTTAAAGTGCTACATAGTCCTGAATTTTACTCCAGTTTATATAAATTCCTATGGGGAAATTGGATTCACTTGACATCATTTTGCATAAAGTAACATTTTTCAGGAACATAACTACAATATTAAGCAAGGAGTTAGGTATTCCTGAGTGCATCCATAACTGTAATTTTGTAGATGGTTTTAGAAAAATGCGAATCTCCCCAAACGATTAGAATTCTTGTGGTTGAGTCACCACTGGTATATTTTAAGAAAGCCAAAACTCTCCTTTCTTTTTTTCCCCTGTCAGATGTTGCTTTGTGAGTCAGTGTTAAAACAAGGAACCTGCAGTTTAATGGGGTTTTTTTAAAGCTGCATATTCATCTGTAAAATGCCACCTCATGTGGTAAACATTTACTTTCTGCATCACCGATTGACTTTCATGTCCTTGAAAAAGAGAGATTTCCATCATATCTTACTAAACAATAATTTCAGTGAGAGTTTCCCTGAGTTAAGGGGTGATGCTTGAATTGTAATCCTAGATCTACACTTACTCAAATAGCTGAATAAACTAACCCCCTATATTCAGTAAATTATAAAGAACTTTACAGACTCTCCTAGTTGATGTAAAATTTCCTAATAGGGCTGAAGGGTAGAAATGTTATGAAACTCTGTGTGGCAGGGGCCTCAGGGTGCAACCTGGATTGTGGGACTTGTGAGCCCTCCAAAATCCGTCAGTATGGGTTATTTCTCATGCGATCATGCTTATGTCAAGGTACAAACCTCTGAGAGGCACTGCACCTACCCAGGTAGGGATGCACTCCAATGCATTACACAAATGATCTCTCGGCTACTACTCAACCAACAATAGAGAGGCTTCAGCCAATTTCCTCCAGTCCAGCACGTCAGAAATGTACCATCTTGCCTGACCAGTGTAAGGTCATTATTTAGTTCACCTCCTCTTGATAGGAAAGTGGACGAGATGCAGCCTTTGTGATCTGAGCAGATTTCCCAAGCATTTTAGACAAACTCACTGATAGGGACATAATGTTAAAAAAAGTATTAACTATAGAAATATAGATGTTAAGAGATTATAAGTGGTCAGCATATAGGTCAGAGATAGTTACCTTAAGAAAATAAAAATAGATAGGGGTGACCAACCATCCTACTTTTACCAGGGGCAAAATGTCCCGTATTTGCACGCTCCCTGATGGTCCTTGAGTTTCCCAGTCAGTGCAGCCGCAGCAGCCTCCTATTTGTGGCTGTCAGTAAAGCGGGCACCAGCATGGGGTGTCTGGAGTCAGGCAGTGACCAAGGTAGAAACATAGAAAGAAACCTGGTAGGAGTGTTTTCCCTTCCTGTGTACCCTAAATAAGGGGGCAAGTCTGCCAGACTTTCCAGAACATGAGGCTGAAGCCTGACCATCGGCGCCTCCCCCCAAGCGGAAACCCCTTTCTCACCCCCACCATTGGCTGCAGCCCCATTCCCATACAGCCTTCAGCACAGGGCTGAAGCCCTTTTGCTGCCATGGGGCTCATCCCCATTCCCAGGTGGCCTTCACTGTGGGACTGAAACCCTGAGTGCCAGCAGCTCCCCCTCTGGGTTAAAGCCACCCTTGGTGTCCTGTATTGGGCATAGAGAAATATAGTCACCCTAAAAATAGAAATCCTAAACTTTTATTCTAAGCAAGAATAGAATCAAACATCTTTTCTTCCCTGACAGATGGTACCAAGTAGGGATGTTAAACTGTGAGTAATTGACTATAATCAAATAGCCAATGCATTTTTCATCGACTATTCAATTAGTTGATAGGGCACCTCCGCCTTTGAAGTGTAGCAACAGCTACACTAGGGTTGTTGCTATACTTCAAAGGTGAAAGCCCTGCATGGAGCATGGGGTCAGCTGGGGACTCCCCCGCTGACCCCGGGCTCCATGCAGCGCTGCCACCTTGAAGCACTCCTTCTTCTTTCCCCCCCACTTTGCTGCCTCTTTCTGATAGTTGACTAGTGTGTAGACTATCCGATAAGCACTGGCTTATCAGATAGTCGC